CGGGCTGGGTTGGGCCGGGCCGGGCCGGGCCGCGGTAGGAAGGCGGGAGCGAGAGAGCGAGGCCGGAAGGAAGGAAAGCGAACGGAGCCCGCCAGGATGATCAAGCTTTTCTCGCTGAAGCAGCAGAAGAAGGAGGAGGAATCGGCCGGCGGCACCAAAGGCTCCAGCAAGAAAGCCTCCGCCGCGCAGCTCCGCATCCAGAAAGGTCGGCGAGGGCACATATGGGGAGGGATTGGGGGGAGGAAAGAGGTCGGCGGGGAAAAGTCACCTCCCGCCGCTTTCGTCAAAAGGAAGGGCTTCTTGTTTTCTCCTCATCTCTCTTCTCTCCCCCCTCCCCCCAGCTTCCCTAATTCTGAATTTCTCAAATTTTAAGAAGGGTTGGGCTTGGGTGGCCCCGTCCCTAGCCTGCTTTTCTTCCAGGTTGCTCAGGTCACAGTCTCCCTCTCCCTTTCTCTGTGTTAACTTCACAACAGCCCTGTGAGGCAGGTTAGGCCCTCTAAAGGATGGCGGGCACAAGGGGGGGGGGTGCTTCTCTTTTGTTGCAAAGATTTGCTGGGGCAGGTTAGGGTTCTGGAGAAATGTGGGAGACGGATTAACTTGAGATGAAAGGATTGATTCAACGTCTTTCTTTTCCCTCCACCTAACAGCACTGTGAGGTAGGAAGTTGCTGCTCCCTTCATCTGCAAATGGAAATGCTGTTTCTTTGGAGGACCTGTAGGTGGCGGAGTACACCCAAGGCTGTAGCTACTGAGGGGTCATATGGGGCACCGCCCCCTCCCAGATTTTCAGCGCCCCCCACAAATTTTACAGCCTGCTGCACTGTTGCAAGGTCTTCTCCCATGTTATTCTCTCAGTAACCCTGTGATGTGTGTTGAGAGAATAGTTGGTTCAGTGTTATCAAGCTTTATGGCAGAGTACAGATTTCAGCCCAGGTCCATGTGTTCTTAGTCTGATGTTCTAACCATGGGATACTGGGCTTTGCTTGGATACACCCACATTTTGTGTATATCCTGAAGGGTGACCGTGGTTGCATGGGTGAAGTTAAAAATACTTGGTGTATGCTCCAGGAAGTCTGCAGTTGTCTGAATCTTGGTGCTGAGTCTTTCTTTAACCTGTTTGTCTGCAAAGTGCATTAAGTTTCCCCCCCCCTCTTCCTTTAGTGATCTGAAGGTAATGTGAGTGGATTGCTTCCCCCCAATCCTATAACATTTCTTGGGATATACTAGGCTACGGACCTTACCATGAGCTTAGTGCCTTGGTGGAGATATAAGTCCAGATCTTCCCTTTAATTCTAATGTTGCATCTGTTATAGTACCTTGGTTCTAAAGGAGGTGAATGGGGTGTCTTATGTCTTGCTTTGGGTAGCTCTCTGGCATACTCTGGGGCTTCTCCATTTTCATTCTTATGATATTTCCCCCCCCCTCTTCCTTTAGTGATCTGAAGGTAATGTGAGTGGATTGCTTCCCCCCAATCCTATAACATTTCTTGGGATATACTAGGCTACGGACCTTACCATGAGCTTAGTGCCTTGGTGGAGATATAAATCCAGATCTCCCCTTTAATTCTAATGTTGCATCTGTTATAGTACCTTAGTTCTTAAGGAGGTGAATGGGGTGTCTTACTTATTGTCTTGCTTTGGGTAGCTCTCTGGCATACTCTGGGGCTTCTCCATTTTCATTCTTATGATAACTTTGAAGTAACTCAAGCTGTGAGACAAAACACTGTGCATACCTGTCCTAGGCCATTTTGTGCAGTCGAGCAGGGATTCTCCTGGCCAGTGTTCAACAGTGGTTCCCATACAGTGCACTGGTTTTCAAAATAAGCCCATATTTCCCTAAGAGAAGAAAGGTATGAGGAAAATAATCTGTCTGATATTAGCATTGCAAGATGCTCAATTATTCTGTAGTTTGTGACATTGTATTCTCTGAAGTATGCAACTTGGCATCAAAGTGATGTTGACTCCTGTCATCTGTTTTCCAAAGACATTAGATGAATAGACAGTGATTGTCAGTGGCTTGTGAGACTGGGGGGAGGAGGACTGGTGGATTAGTGTGTGAAACAGGCTTCCTTCCTCATTGGCTGGCTCAACAATCCTCCTTTTCTCTGTGAATTGACAACTTCTTCTATTTTTCCTTCCAGATATTAATGAACTGAATTTGCCGAAAACATGTGAAATAGACTTTTCAGACCAAGACGATCTCCTCAACTTCAAGCTAGTTATCTGCCCTGATGAGGTAAGTGACTGGCAGCAGAAACACCCAGCTGGCTAAACGCGGCATGTTGGGACTTGCTGTTCTATTTGTGACCACAGAAAACCCAGGTGGGGATGGGGCAAGGAACTTGATCCCATAGCAGTCCGGCTCTGTAATGCAAACAGAACAGGAAAGCTCAGTTTGAATGGGCTGGCAAACAGTAACCTCCAGTGTGAGGATGCAGTACCTTTGGATGCCTCCCTGCCCCGATTGACTCTCCACCATCTCATGAGTCTGCCTCTGTGCCTGATTCCTTGTAGAACTCCCACTTTCTGGGAAAATCTGCTTATTTAAAAATGTTTCCAGTCCTTAGGCCTGTGGTGGCATTTAAAATTGTTCATGCAATGTATTTGCAAGACTCCAGTGATCAGATGCTCTGCCCTGTCTCATCCTGTGGACTCCTGTCTCATTTGCTGCCTTTATCTTTTGCTTCTCTGGATCTATTTCCTGTTTGCTGTACCCTTGAATGCCATTGGCTACATGCTGATGTCTCTTCCTGCTGCCGTTTTGCCTCTGGGGCAGGGGCATGAAGGAGTTAAGCCTCCTTGAAAACTCAAATATTGGGTAGTGTTGCTGTGTGTTTGTAATTTGCAGCGTGATTTTAATTCCTTGTTTTGGAGGTACACGATTGGCCTTCCCCACTATCTGTAATACAGATGGCCTTGACCATAGTGACCATAATAACGGGGTATGTTCCTGAAGTGTAATCAGGTGTTAGCCTCCAGCCTAAACAGTGAAGAGTTTTGTGGCAATGATTGTGAGGCTATGAATTTCCCCCAATCTTGGAACAGACTGTTTATTGATTTGTATGGTATTTTATTATGGTTTTAACTTTAAATTTTCTGTTGTTGTTATCCTGTTGTGAACTGCCCTGAGTCCTAAAAGTCTAAATAAATAAATAAATAGTGTTAGGGTGAAAGAGGGATGAGGTCTTCTACTGGTATCTGTGCAGTGGTTGTATTTGGGTCAGTCCTGACATACTAGCTGTAAACAACAATTCAGTAAACTGTACACAAAATATTTAAGATTTCTGTTTGTCCTCTTGCTAAGTATTAACAATGGATTAAAGCAGTCATTTTCACCTTTTGTGTCTTATGCCCCACCAGTTGTGCTGTCAAAGCACCTGGGGGCCACCATGACAGAAACAAAAGGACCACCCCCCCCAGAACATTTATATGCTTATAGCCATTCTGTTATTTATCATTTGTGGTTTGGGTGTAAAACATTGCAGTAATACTGTTGGGAGCGAATTCTATTGCTGTGGCTTTAAAGCACAAACGAAAACTAAATTCC